CCACTTATTTGTTAAAGATAAATGTTTTATCAATAGTCAGGTTAAGGTTGACAATTATAAAATTCTATAATGTAAATGTTGTGATGTTACTCTGAATATACCGGATAATTTGGACTTGAACGCATTTAAAACATTTAATGTTTTTAAGGAAAAACAAATTCTCCCATCCCATTTTGATGGGAACGTTACTTGGAATTAGGTTTTCATTCAATAATTTATGAAAGCAAATTATATGGACAAGAAAAAAAATAGAGAATTGTACAATGATTTTTGGTGGCACCACTCCACCTATGAAGCTAATTTTCTAAATTCATTGGAAGAATTTTCCTTAATTTTCGCAAAACGACAAGGAAGAAAAATGAAAATGAACAAGACAGGAACGGATGAAGTGATATGTGGTTAGGAGAAAAAATAGTTTAAACTCATTTGAGCTCTTTAATTTTTAAAATTAATATTTATTTTAATATAATAAATTTATTATTTAACAAAGGGGTAACATGTATGTATATCAATATACTAATATTATCAAAACGATCTTAGCTCAGCAGTAATTGGCATAACCTCTATCTGCACAGTACCTGATCAATGGAGTGGAGTGCCCTTTTATAGGCAGACATGGGAGACAAAGTAGTTGGACTGTTACGACCGGTGGTTACGGTTGTCGGGCTCCCAAGTCGGTGGTCAGACTCCTCAAGTCGATGGATGTATCTTTCTTTATCTAAGCTTGATATGGATCAGGCCGACAGATGTTGATGATCCGTTTTATAATACCATTACTCCAAAGCCTACACTTATTGAATCTGATTTTGAGCACAAACAAATAAAATATATATACATATATATAAATTTTAGAAATGCATATAACATATAGACTTCTTTTTGACAAATTAAATTTTAGAAATGTAAATTGATTTACGTCATAGGAAACTGAAAAATTATTGGGAAATAAATAAGATGGGGTATGGCCTGGGAATTAATGTATGCGGTTGTCAGAGAAAAAGGTGACGTGGGCGGCGGAGAGAGAGGTGGGGTGGTGGGGTCCACCGAATTGGAGGGGGGATTGAGTGTGGTGGCTCCCTTTTTCTTAAATAAGGATTGGAAGAAAGCGAAAAAGGCATCGGGACAAACAAAAAGAATGGGGGTGGGCCCCACCCCCGGGGGTTGCGACTTGCGAATTGCGACTGCAAGTGGCGCTTTCTTGGCGCGACACCGCTTTTCACTTTTAACTGTCCACAACGCCCATGCCCAGCGCTTCCTCCACATTTTACGATTCTTAAAAAAAGTTGTCGATTTTACTTTTGCCCTTAACGAGGGGAACAGCTGCGTTGGAAATTCATGTTTCATTACTTCACTTGCAAGTTTATGTAATTAAAATCTCTAATTTTAAAATATATGATTGATTGAAGAAGAAATCGTGCTCTTTCGTTCTCAATTTCCCAATAATTTCTAACGAAAGACAATCATACAAGGAAGACGGGATGGATTATAATGCTTGGATCTCCAGTCTCTTTCCTTGCCACTATTGTTGAGTCATCCTACTATATTGATTGTGGAAAATGTTAGATTTTGACTTGTAAGTAATGATGGAAGGTAGGACAATTTAATTGGGAGGGTCATAAATTTGTCCAATTCAAGCAATCATGGCACTGTTCAAATATGATGCAGGATATACTTCCATTAAACAATGATTTATAAAGGTGAAATTATAGTGTAGGTAGAAAGAGTAGGTATTAAGCTATTATATATTTTTAATATTTTTGTTAAAAATAGTAGAATATCGTAGTCAATTTATTAAGGGGGCATATTAATGATCCCAAATTAAAAAAATCAAGAACCTAACAAAAATTGATGTCGTGTGGCTTACGCGGTAGATTTCTATAATCGAAGTTCGTTTGTCCAGGTTGAGCAACATGAGACTTGAACTAAAGATTCCGTGATAGATGATGTACCATATAGTTCAAAGCCTTTCCTTCACTCTATGCAATCCTTCCAGGGACATTTAAAAGGATTTATCAAATAAAATAGAACCAACAGTAACTATATATACAAACATTTTATTTCATGGTAAGTAAAAGGATATTTGAGTTATTTTAGTTCAATCAAATGAGTATAACTCAATTACTTAAAATGGTCGGAGATCCAAATGATCATCTTACGTTGAATTAAAAAACGAATAAAAGAAAAAAAAAACTGAATTATTAATGAAATTCATGAACCAATATATAAATCAACATACTTTCGATATTTTAAACGTAACCCATCCAGACAGTTGAGATCACAATGAGTTGATAGTGTTTTTGGAGTCATCAAATACTTTCTTAACGTAATCCAAGCCGATGGAAAGTAGTCTCCTAAATCCAAGTAATTACTAGCTAGGACGACAAAAAAAACTCCAGTAGCAAAGTCCCACGAAAGTGAATTAGAAACAATAACAATAATTAATTCTCAGGGGCTCCATCCCAAATGGGACTTAAGATAGAGATGCATCTCTGACTTATGATAAAATTTAATTCAACTCTAATTCTTGACCGCCATGTAATAGATAGTCGTTGAGTTATCCCACATCAATTACATGATTAGTGTACATGAATGGGGAAAGTCTTTCCCTTCGCCACGCTTTTGGAAGTGACACGTAATACTTCTTTTTTGATCTTATAGTTTACGAAACCATGTATGTTACAATTGTCGTATTATAATTGAATCTAAATTTAATTCACGAGAAAACCCGACCCTTCTTGTGCACTGCATTCGTGACAGATACATAAAAACGAAATGCCGACGTACATTTAACTCGTCTTAAAAAAAAATAATAATAATCATACGCTATTAAGGAAAATGGCGAAACCAGATGACGAAAAGATATTTATTCAACTTATATTAATATATTATATACAGAATGCGTGTAAGGTTTACCAACGTATGCGTGTCGCGTGGTGCTTTCGCTTTCTTGGAAGCAGCAATTTTGAAGAGAGGGTTTGTGCAGTTTTTAGGACTCTAGAAAAGTATTCCCAATATCTTCTCATATTTGTATGCGGGAAAGAACAAATTAAATATTTTCTTTTTTTTTTTTCTCTTTAAAGCAGATTAAACTTGGTGCAATAGTTGGGTATAATTTCAAGTTTCTTCTATAATTTTAAAAATTTTAATTTAGTTTATATAATTTGGTTAAACCTGACAACAACGCCACTTCGTTCCATTTTCATTTTATCTACTTGATAGATCTATTTATTCTTTCTTACACTCAACTCTAAACATCATATAATACCATTGCCTGAACATAAATTATTAATTCGCCACATGAGAAAAAAATGTTAATATAGTAACGATAGAAAAAATAACTTGTGAAGTCTGACTAAGCTAATGAAAAATATATATCCAATTTACATTGCCACTTGGCCATGGAAATTCAGGGGAAACGACGATAAATGCAGTTGTTGCTTTATGAAGGTGGCGCAGAGGCAAGGCAAGCAACGCAGGTCCCAATCTTGGGCATTTAGGAAACAAACCACATCACTGTACACATTATTAAATCGAATGGGAACAAAAATACCAATTCAATAGGTTTGATTAATTTAATCGATAATCTATATTAACCTAAACTACAAGTGGACTTTTTCAATATAACATCTGGAATCATGTAGTTGAATAGTAAGATAAAAAATGGCCACTAATTCTGTGTATACATATAGAAAAAGTATTAGATGGGGTGATGCTAACATCTTATCTGTATTGGAAATTTAGGATAACCAATCAACTAATGAAATACCTGAATTTTTAGAGATAAGAACATAATTTCTATTGTTGTTCCAAAAAAAACACAATTTCTATTATATTATCTCTATTTCTAATAGACTATGTTCCTCAGATTCAAATCATATCCTAAGAGTTGTTACTGATTTGATAGCACAATATTTATGTCTCATATTAAAAAGTTGAGTTCAAATCTTAATGGTATATTTGTTAATAATATTTTTAATGTTTTTTTTTTTACTTCTGGACATAGGAAACCTCAAATTTGGGTTTTGGGGGTCAACACCTAAACATCTTGCCACTGCGCCAACACCAAAAAGTGCATAATTCTATATTATTTTTTTAATGTTTGTGCAAGCAATAGACTAGTTGATGTTTAAATAACGTGTTATGGTTGTGGTAATAGACTAGTTGATGATTAAATAACATGTCATGGTTGTGGTTAGGATAGTTCAAGAATCAATAAACCCATTGCGTACATGCACATTAATTTTTATAAGATTGGTCTCAAGTATCATTTAAGATTTTATTTATTACTTTCAAATTTCTATTATCCAATTTCATTGGTGTAGTTCAACTTTCCGAACTCATGACATTTTGATTAGAGATAGATGTCTTAACCATTTGAGCTATGCTCAATTTTGGCCTGTCAATATAGTAAATTGTAAATACTATAGAACAAAAAGTATCATACTTGACGTTGACCATAGTCTATTTACAGTTTTGTAATTACTTGCAAAATGACATAATTATGTAAGTATCAAGAACTTGACATGCATACAAAGTAATTTAATTTCATAAAAAGATACCAATTAATTTAAGGTAAATAAATCGAATTAAAATCCCCCACATCTTATTTGCAGGTCATTTGTTACCATTTATGCCGATAACTTTCTTAGATGGGCCGGGGCGTAAATGGGCCATGAAACAAATATGGCCGGCCCGACCCATCGGGGTAGTTCTAAATTACGGGTTGGAACTTGGAAGGACGGTTACCCGTGGCCGCGTACTCCAACTCCGTTTCTCAAAGGCGCTAGAGGAAAAAAAAACGAAAAGGAAAATAATTAGAGTAGGTAAGGTAAAACTTAAAAGGTTAAAAAACTAATTATTATTTATATTATTCTTTTTTTTTAGTACAGTTCTTATTTTTCTTAAGAAAATGTAATTGGCAACATGGAATTTATTAATTGCATATGGGTTTCTTTTTTGGGGTTTGTGGCACATTTTTGTTGTTGAGTTGTCAGGTGGAGTTCAACTCTTCCTGTTTTATTTTTCATTTTCATTTTAAAAAAACCGGAAGGAAGCGTGTCTCGGATCCCTTGACCAGTTTTCTCTCTTTGATTCCGTCCGTACGTGACGAGAGCTCAACTCTTCCATTTTCGCGCGCGCCATAGAAACTCAACGCCAACTGCTGCACGCTTCCGCTCTTTCGTCTTACAATGTCGCCGTGATTGTGAATTGGTTCGGGCATTCGCATCGTCTCGCCCGGTCTTCTCCCTTCTGTTTCAATTTACAAAAACTCATCGGGGAGGGGAGGATTTTCGGGAGGGAAACATGTGGGTGTTCTATCTGATCTCGTTGCCTTTAACTTTGGGCATGGTGATCGTCACGCTCAAGTACTTTGCTGGCCCATGGGTGCCTCGCTACGTCTTTCTCACTGTTGGATATACCTGGTTTTGTTCCCTCTCCGTCATTATTCTCGTCCCGGCGGACATCTGGACGGTATGCTTTTAATCGTTTCTTGTCGATGTTAATTGTTTAATTGGGCGCAATTTAGTTTGAGGCATGTCGATGCGTTTCATATGAATCTGAAAATTGGTTTAAGGAAATTTTAATTTGCCCTTTAAAGAAGATTTGGGAATTAGCTGAAGTGATTAGGTTTTGCGCAATTATCTTAATTAATTCATTTGATGGAGTTTTGGATGGTAGGTCTCGATTTGTAGGCTACAAATTTGCATCTATTCGGACAGAATTCATGGCGCAGTTTTGAAGGATCAATTTGATGGCTTTTAATTTATAACGAACGTTATATTATAGCTCCAGATCTTTACTTTCCTCGTCATTGGTAACAAATATATGTATATAGGTAGACAGACAGATAAGAAACGTATTTAGTTTATTTGACCAACTATTTAGCGCTATTAATTTTTGGCGGTCGTACTTCCCTTTAGCTGGTTGTTGTGTCCTCAGTGTTACCGGTTCCCCTTTCCTGCATTAAGAGCATTGCCGATTATTCATGCAAAAAGATAACTTGAATTCATTTTGCATCCTCTTGTTTGCACAAGTTTTCTCCTCTGAGGAAGTTGTAGTTGATTCAAAAAATGATCATGTTCTTGCTATTGGCATAACTTATTTGTGTACAGACCATAAGCCATCTGCCAGAGACTGGAGTTATTTCTTTCTTTTGGAGCTGGTCCTATTGGAGTACATTTTTACTTACCTGGTACCACACTCATAGTCGATATACACTTTTTTCGCTTAAAAATTGTAGAGTAATCCTCATACTTCCAAATTCACATCTTCAACCAGGGCTGTGGTGCCGCTTATCCAGGGTTTTGAAGATGCTGGAGACTTTACTGTGAAAGAAAGACTGAAGACTAGCATCCATGTTAACTTGGTCTTTTATTTGGTTGTTGGATCAATCGGTCTTTTTGGACTTATTCTCCTCATTATGATGCACAAGATTTGGTTAGTTATTGCTTAATTTTGGCTTTTACGTACTTTTGTTTCATTTATTTCTTTCTTCATGGCAAATGTATCATAACTTTTATATGATCGGGCCCCAAGGGAGTTTTCAGTTTGGTTCAACCACATGAATGGGTGACAATGCTAACTAAGAAGTAGGGACATAGTGGGACGATAAATTGTAAAAAAAGATTACGACAAGGACAGCGTGGCGGTACATGCTCTTTTTTAAATTTATATATATGTTTATGTATTAACACATTTCTAACATACTTCATAATTGATTTAAAAATGCAAATTTAAATAACAAAACAGCAAAAGTTAATCTACAGAAAAGGCAAGAATTAAAATGCAAACAACCATATCTGTTTTGCCACAAGGTTCATGAACTTTACATAACAAACTAGAAAGTAAATTTGAGTCTTCTCCACAAAGTTAAATATTCTGACCTTTATAATAGTCAAATACTCTTGTTATATTACGTGTTTTGGTTTTACAAGTGGGTACCTTGTGCTCTCACAAATTTGTGAATTGTTATATTCATGAAAAGTTTCATGGGATAAATTCTTTTGCCTCTCTGTTAATAGGATGGGTGGTATTCTGGGTTTCGCTATGGCGTGTTCAAATACATTTGGACTGGTAACAGGTGCATTTCTTCTTGGCTTTGGTTTGAGCGAAATCCCCAAGAGTATTTGGAGAAATGCTGATTGGACTACACGCCAAAAAGTTCTTTCCCATAAAATTTCCAAGATGGCCGTTAAACTTGATGATGCTCATCAAGAACTCTCAAATGCTATTGTTGTAAGTTGTACCCTCCTCCCACTCCCCATGACTTTCGCAGATGGACAGAAAGATAAAATTTAACTGAACAAAGACTTCCAAATCAGACAGCTCTTTTTCTCTCTTTCACACGTGCACACACTGAGGCATGCAAAGGCACCCATAGAGACATACACCAATATATCTATTGTTTTCCTTAATATTTATTTGATTTTAGGTTTTATTCTCGTTTTGTACTAAGATTTTTTCTGATTTACTTTTTTTTATTTCATTAATATGGTGGCCGTAACTTACTGTTGATGTTCTAATTTAATAAGTTTCATTTTTGCTTTCCCTGTTGGATATCTGATTTTACGATTTTATTTTCAAAGTCATTTCTATAGCTGGTCCTTTTTCTTTTTCTAATTATTTTCTATTTTTTTCTAAAATTTGGCTTGTAATTTACTGAGCTGTAGATCTACAGAAGAAGTTTATTTTCTTCTTCTCTCTCTTATGTTGCAAGAAAAATGTTGTAAAATGAATGATCCATATATCAATTGGCTGCGCATTTCCGTTGTGGGGACTGGGGAGCAAGTAATTGAAATTGGTACTTGGAAAAAGTAACATAACATCTATCATGGAGACTTTGGGTGGATGGAATGTGGGCTGCCTATGTAAATACATTCAGATGCAGTACCCATAGATAGCAATTTGCAACTAGATCGTATTATTTTATTTATTTGGTGTATTTGCAAGGTACAACGTTATTTTTTTTTCTCTTTTTGATCTTCCATTTATGTAATAGGTTGCTCAAGCAACATCTAAACAGATGTCTAAACGTGATCCCCTGAGACCGTACATGAATGTTATTGACAACATGTTAACTCAAATGGTAAAATCTAATTCATTATTTTATTCACTCCAAATATGTCAGTATCTTAACCAGCGTTTTCCTTACACTATTTTCTTCTATCCGTAACTCAGTTTAGGGAAGATCCATCTTTCAAACCACAAGGTGGAAGATTAGGAGAAAATGATATGGACTACGATACAGATGAGAAATCAATGGCAACACTCAGGCGTCATCTTCGCAGAGCAAGGGAGGAGTATTACCGTTATAAAAGGTATATTGACCACTTACTCCTTTTCAGTTATTGTTTAAAATTGGGAAGGTTTGTTGATTCTTCACGGTGGGTGAGTGATTTGCATTTTGGGAAATTAGGAGGGTTTTGAGTTGTTTTGGTATTTCTTTTGATGCATGCATTAACATTTTAATTTCTTAATGAAAAGCTCTTTAGGAAATTAAAATGTTAAAGCATGCATCAAGAAAAATACCAAAACAACTAAAAAATTCCTTAATGAAAAGCTCTGACCAGGCTTTTCCCCACCTTTTTTTAATTTCATACCATCAATGAAATTGTTTTTATAAAAAAAAAAAATAATAATAATAATAAAATGAAAAGCTCCGTACTTGTTTCCAGAAAAAAAAGAAAAGTATGAGTGAAGCTTTATTGTATCTCTCATTGCTTAGTCAGTGCCTTTTAGCCTTATAGTTTGTAGGCCTTCCATTTTCATAAGAATGGGTCATGGTTGCATGAAAGTGATTTTCAAATCACTAAATACCATACACGTGTAAGCGTGTGAGACAGGAGGGACCATGTAAGCAATAAGGAGGGGGGTTTTTGTGTGGGCCCTAGGAATATTGTTAGTTAGAGGGAAGGTGTAAGGGCTTTGATAGAACGGATATAATTATAATTAGAGTATGTTAGAGGTAGGAGGTTGCACAAGTGTTGGAAGAGTATTTCATGTAGCTTGGAATTGAGAGAGTTAGGAGTGGCTTAAAAATTTCTCTTCCAATTTTGTAATTTGTTAGTCATTTCAGCACAAATATCAATTTGGTTCCTTCCATTTTACTACTTTATGTGTGAGATATCTTAAAAATGAAATAAATCTTACTATCAACCACCCGTAGCATTGCAACTTCTTTTTATTAATTTATATATGCAGCATACCATAAATTGTTGATTTGGATATTTACCCTTTTTGGATGTAGTTATTTCTGCACATAATGGTTTAAAATTTTTATTATTATTTTGGATAGGGGTTTAGATTCTAGTTTGATAATTATTGGTATGCTTACCATGACGGTCATTCTTGGAGTTTGGATTCTAGCTTCCTCTGCATAATGACTTGTTTTTGAAAGAGCAAGAACTGTTATTATTGATTGCTCGATAGTTTTATTTATTTATTTGACAAGACTTTGCTTGATAGATATCACCAATTAGTTTCATATTTTCCTGATCTTATTTGTTTTTTTGTAGCCAATATATGGCCTATGTTATGAAGGCTCTTGAACTTGAAGACACCATAAAGAATTATGAGCGGCGCTCGTCAACTGGATGGTTTGCCCCTTATTACGAACTTTGGTTTTTTTATTTTAGCCTGTCTGCTGTTCAACAGAGGATTCAGATCTTAACCTCCATAATGGCCATGTTATTTTTTCAGGAAATATGTTTCAACTCACAGGCCTGCTCGAAGTGGGAAGTTAGGGTTGATCTTTGATACAATTGGTAAATACAAAATGCATCAACTTCATTCTTTCTTTAGTGTTTTCTTTCACATCACATGAGATAGTAATGCCATTTCAGAATGCGTGTGGATGTCATCTTTATAGAATTATGCAGCATCATTAAATGTTGACATAACCCGTTTTCTAGTGGGTCGTCCTTCATAAGTATTGGCCATTTGGCCTTGGTCGTGGAGACCATGAACTGTGTGTTCTTGTTTGTTGTTGAGATATGTTAGAGTTCCATTTTTTAAGGCTGTTTACAGGTTAGCTGCCTACCCTAAGAACCTTGAAGAAATTAGAGTGATTTCTTACTTTGAATAGGGGCATCATCGGAAGTTTGAAAATGGGTGTATTGTGTGGGCACTCAGAATGGTTAAAAAGAGAGCAGTTTCATTGGACACTAAGGTTGAGGTATCCTTTTAGATAAACATGAGAGTTACATTTGCTTTGCCATTTTAGGCAAACATTTATTGTGGTGGCTGAGACCTCAGGAGTGGGAACCAGGGTGGTCTTGGGCACAATGTTCCATGGCATATGTATGAAGTTCAGTCAATGAGCAAGGAAAGGCTTGGTTTATGAAAGGAAAAAAATGACAATGGTACTTGCCTTCCAGTATTGGTGCTCTTATTAGGGCAGGGGTTTGTACTAAGTGTAAAATTTTTGCTGGGTTAGAAATTGTTGGATGCCTCTAAATGGATCTTCAAACTCCTTGGTTATGAAAATTGAGATTCAATACAAATCTTGGATTGAGAATAAGGTGGTGGCCTTTCTCGTTTAGATGGTTCTCCAGCTTGTGCTTTTTTGCAAATTGAGAATTCTTTCAACGGAGAAGAACTATAATGGAGCATTACAATTTACAACAGACATTTTTATCTAACATCAAATTTGAAATCTAAACTCATCCTTTAGCCTATCTGAAATCCTAGTGGGATGGAATTTTTATTGCTTGAAAACGATGCTTGGTGGTATCTAGAGGGGCATCTTGTATTGCTAAGCTCCTGGGCACTTACCATCCATGAGCGGGTATTCAAGACTTGCAAACAGCTAGCCATGGATTATTTTTGGGATGAAATGTGAAGAGATATCACCACATTTGTGCAACTATGTGAGATCTACCAGTGGAATAAATCATTGACATAGCTCCATTGGGGCTTCTCACTAGGTGGGGAAAGATAAGAATGATTTTGTGCTTGTCTAACCTTAAAAAAGTAGACATCCTTCAGTGCAATGCATCTCAATCAAATGGGGCGGAAATGCTAGTCAAGTTGAAGAGGTTGTCCCACTCTGATGCTAATGGGGGTCTTTTGATGCTTTGACCTAGATGGTTTTCATCTCTTCACCTTTAGAACATAGTGTGACTTTGGGCCGGACGCAATGATAAACCTATAATGTGCTTGATGTATGTGCAATGGAAGAAGCATTGGAGAAGCACGTGGAGAATATGCGTAGACGGCATTTTGGTACTTTTAACCATGTTAGTGCTGTGAGTTGTTGCATGCAATGTTGTGCGGTAGATATACAAGGTGGGGTTAGCTAGGCTATACCTGAAATGTAAATAAATGAGAGGTTTGATGGGAGGAAAAGATTAGTTTGCATCTGGTAGCTAATGGGAGTGAGTACTGGAGTTCTAGTTATTCTCACTGCTAGAGTTTCCTCTCAGTGGCGAGCTCTAGTAATTCCTAGATGTATTTCAATTTTGTTTTCTTTTGTGGATTTCCTTGACTGGGCCAGCATTGATGAAAAAATGACAAAAGAGAAACTTCTGGACCTTTCAAAAGGATCGTTTTTTGGCCGCCAAGTTCAGATAAGGAAATGCTTCCCCCAACCATTAAAGGAAAGGCTCGACGAAGATTGTTTTGCATTACCACAAAAATGCATCCCTGTACATCCAAATTTTTAAAAAATGAATACAAATAACTCAACATTTCAAATTTGCAAATTAGTGTGGAATTGTTTGACATACTCAAACTTAAAAGTAGTCTCCATGCTTGCTGGCTTGTACTATTCGCCAGTCTGTTTTCATTGGATATCATGCAACAGTAAATGATTATATTTTATACTCTAAATTCTAAATAATGAATAGTTATAGTAAGGTGGTGATCTGCAGAGTTTATGTGGCGATGCATCCTAAGAAAGCATCTTGAGAAAGTCTTGGCTGTTATACTTGGTATCATGTCTGCTGCAATTCTTTTAGCCGAGGCAACCCTATTACCAAGTGTGGATTTGTCTCTCTTCTCAATGCTCATTAAATCAGTAGGACGGGAGGAGGTGCTTGTGCAGGTAGATCATCATCCTTAGCAGTGCATTTACTTTTACTGTGTGCATATTTTTCATTGTGTGATTGACAGGACATGCAGTTAAATAGGATATGCGAATCAATATTTATGCACATTTTGTTTATTATGTATAGTCGAGTCGCATGGAGCTCTTTTATTAAGTGCAGTGTGTCAAAGTGATTTTCCTTGGGGGTATTTGTGAGAAGAAAATGAAAAGAGGCATGATTCATTTTCCTTATCTGATTTTCAAACTGGTGATAGAAACTGAAATAAAAAAAATACGACTTTGACTGTTGTTATCTTTGACTTGCAGCAACGTTATCTAATTACAAGTTACAATTACAACCTACCTGTTATGACCTCTAAATACATTAGAGAACAGTAGGTTAAATGATCTCTAAACTGGATGGAAACTTAAACTATTTTGACATTTCTCAGTATGATGTAGACGAATCTATCTGGAACATATATCCGCAGACATATTTATGATAAGAACAAAATGGAATATTTTTCGGATTTCCAGTTTTTTTGTGTGTATTTTCTTGCAAGTTGCAATCTTCCTACGGTAGTTTTTGGAAACAAACTTCTTTCGTCAGTTTTCCTGAAATTTTATTTAAGACTCAGTCGAGGATCCGTATCCTCATCATCTGACCTGACTGCTACCTGTTCATTTTCTCCCTACCATAATTTTGTAGATATGCAGCGGATTCCTTTTTGCTTCTATGGGACTTATCTGCTAATCTGTAAACCTATTTTCTTTTTTCAGGCCTTTGCTTTTGTTCCATTGATGTATATGTGCGTTTGCACTTATTATTCTTTATTCAAGTTTGGAACTTTGATGTTTTATTCATTAACACCCAGGCAAACGAGCTCTGTGAACTTGCTACTGATTTGTTCGTGAGTGTTTCTCTTTAGCTTTTAAGTCATTTTGGAAAATTTTCTATTCGTCTTTATGACAGAGTAAGCACTCAAGTTATGTTTATTCCTCTGCTAGGATGGTTGCCAGGTATGCTCCACCAGTTTCCTTCAACTTTCTCAATCTCATTCGCCTTGGTGGGAATGTGGAAACTGTTTTTGAAAAGGTAATCACCGTTTTATGTTTTTGTTACTGCAACGTTTTTTTTTGCAGTTGTGATTTAATATTGGGACGTGAGGTCTCACCTAATTATCATCTTCGTCACTTACTAGTTTGGGTGCTTAGTAATTGTAACGTTTAATCAATAAAATCTTTGTGACTGTGGCGTTGTTCTGTTGTGTCCTTGATCATATTCACTAGTTTACCTGATATATTGTGCAATTATAATGGCAGAGGATGGGGAAAATTGATGACGCTGTCCCTTTCTTTGGAAAAGATTTTAACAGGATCTACCCGCTTATAATGGTTATCTACACCCTTTTGGTCGCCAGCAATTTCTTTAACCGGGTTATTGATTTTCTCGGAAGCTGGAAGAGATTTAGATTTCAGTCGGAGGTAGATGATATGAATGGTTTTGATCCTTCAGGAGTCATCATATTGGAGAAAGGTAGTCATTGAATATTGTTGGTGATATACTTTTTTTGATGAGCTGTGATTTTTTTGTCTGTTTTGCTTTGTCAGATCCTTATTTTCTCGTTATTTCATTCTTGAAAGTTAATCTTCCCATCTAATTGCCTCAGAACGATCCTGGCTTGAACAAGGGCGCATGGTTGGTGAGCACGTTATTCCATTAGCTAGGAATTTCAACAGCATAGACTTGGAGTCTGGCAGCAATAGCAAAGTACGTACATTTACATATTTTTTCTCGAGGCATTCTTCATGTAAATTTGTGAACTATATTTTGATGTCATTGTGATGCTATGTTTAGGAGAAACTGAAACCCTCACATTATTTAATATAGGCAGTTTATTTTCGTTGGTGATCTCTCTTTCTGTAAATGCATCTTCTTTTGAAGAATTCTTAATTTGGTCTAATCTTTTTTCTAATCAAGAAGTTAAATATTCAGGATTTGGTTGATGTCAAAACGAGGGCGACAAACAGTGTAATAAATGAAGATATGAATGGAAATTCGTCAAAATCTTCTTCTACTGATGATGGTCGGAAATATGGTTCTAGCAGAGAAGCCATGAGCAACAAGTATGCTGTAATTAGAGAACAAATCAGACAATCATCATTAAACACAAAGCCGGTGGCGAACATTGCTTCTGCCCAGGTTACCTTACTTGATGCAGTCGAAGGTGAGTCTAGCAACACTAATGATAGGACAAGTTCTGTTTTGGCCTCGAAGTGGGAATCAATGAAGATGGGTTTCCAAAATTTCAAGGCTAATATAGGAACCAAAAAGTTTCTTCCCATGCAACAATCTCCAGAAACAAATACTCTCTCTCGGCATGATTCATCTCAGTCTCTTGATGAGATATTTCAAAGATTGAAACGGCCATCAGATCACGGGGGTTATAGCGACGAGGAGGATGGGACGGAAATGAAGAGTTCCAAGGATGGAATAGGAATTGAGCGATTGAGAACTAGATGACACCATTTTTTTTCCCTTTAGGTTTCAGAATTAAAGAATGCTGTACAGTTCCATGGTACCGGTTGAGTTCTTTACTTGCAGTTGGATCATATCCTGATGAACAGATAGTTGTGACACTATCCTACTATACTGACACATTCGTATATAAGCAACTATTTTGGAAGAATACTAGAGCATAGAGGTGCGCTCCCGGACCAGTAAAACAACCATGGTCCCGAAAATCAGAGATTGCAACTGCAAAGGTTTATGTCTTGGCTGCATCAGCATTGATTTTGATTCACAAGTTTTGGTTCAGAACTCAGATGCCATACAACAGTACTATTATATTGTATATCTCTTTCTGATATTTTGACATTGATGTCTGAATGTAATTGAAAGAAGTCGTGTTTTAGGAAATGTAGGTTGAAATTCTAGACAACGAAAGAACTTGATATGAATGTTCTCGATTGTGTTGGATATCTTTCATATAATTGACGATGACCCATTAAATAAGTCAGCCACTGGCAAAGGATCTCTTAGATATTTTTTGTGTGATCGTCTTTTGGATTCTCTGCACGAATATGAAACTCTCTTCGCAGTTCGTGGAAGAGATTTCTTAGAATGCCGAAAATTAGGGGGCGACGGTAGCCAAGGAGGTCCATAAAATGTTCACCAAATTCTCTTATTCATTTTTCTATGTAACAAAGTTACTCTCGGTTTGATAACTTTTTTTTCCCACCTCTGAAAATTATGTTATATTTTTTGTATGCTTTTCACCTTTCTTAAAACCATTTTTGAATTCTTAGTCAAATTTTACAAATAGAGGAATATATACACGGCCTAGGAGAGGTAGAGTGAATTATAACTTATATTTTTAAAGTTAAAAACAAAATTAAATGATTAGAATTGGGAACTCAGGTCCAGAAATATTTTTAAAATGCGGGGAGACGAAAAGAATCTTGAAAAATAATTTTACTGGAAGAATTGAGAACCGCCCAAGGAAGAGAATAAAGAAACAAAGAAGCCAATACTAAAAAGGGAAAGGTTAACAAAGTTCAAAACTTGGAAGGAAGAGAAAACTTCAAGATCGCAGGAGAGAGAAATAGTAACCCAAATATGAGAAACCGAAACAATTAAAATACAGATATATAAAGTAAAGTAAAAATTAAAAAAGAAAGAAAATCTAAAAAGATGAGACAAAAAAGAAAGAACACCGAATAATTAAAAACTAAAAAGAAAAATTAAAGCTAAAAACAGAAAAAATAACTGCATACAAGTGTAAAAAGCAGTGCAATAAAAACAGAGAGAAAGAGAAGAAACAAAGAAGAGCGTTTTTTTAACCCTCAATCTGCCACAGCCGCCATATGCACAACTCACAACTCACTACATAACTAAAAACCGTCAAAATTTCCATATTAAAAATAGAAACAGCCATATAATTATTGGTTCAAACACTTTAGAAAGTGCAAAACCAAAAAGAACTTTGCAAGCTAAGATAAACCATCTCTGATAATTCACTCATCATTTGATATAAACACTAGATCAGCACAAAAGAAAAGAAAAAAAAAAGAAAAAGAAAAAGTGAGAAGAAATTGGATTGGGTGGCATCTTGCAGTTGCTAAGGATATGAAAGAAACTGTTGACATGAGTTGTGAAAGGGCAGTGATAAGAGGTACAGCGACCCGACACAGAAATGGACAAAACCTTTGAAATGACCCAAAAAGCAGAAGCAGAAGCAGAAGCAGAGCCTCCCCCTCCCTCGTGCATATTTATCAAGCTGGGCCCATCCCCCAACCACACCAATCCACATCTCCAATCCACTTTCAAATTCACCTATCAACCATCAACACTCACAGTCACACACAAACAAAGATTCATAATTTCCCCTTCTTTCAAAACCCATCAATAAAAACTCTTCCTTTCTCTTCAATTACTGCTCTTCTCCCCATAATGAAAAAGATAAGAAACCCCAAGTCCTCGGATTCACCCAAATCTGTCGTCATATTAATTCACTGCCCAACTGGGACAACTTTTTGGTTGCACCCCATACTCCACGCTAACTGCACGCATTTCCATGAACAAAAAGAAAAAAAAAAGGTGAAGATGCTTCTAGGGATCTGTGCATACACAGAAGCATGGCTGTGGACTGCTAGTGGCAGTAGTAGTAGTGAGTAGTGACTTAAATTTTATCAAAGACATCATTTTTAATTTTAACCTAAAACTTTCTGTCAGCAAAAACAGACAGGATCTTTTCTACATCCAAATAATATCTGGCTTTATTAATAATGTAGCATGTGGTCGAAACAATTACAAGTTTGTTTTCCGGATTTTAGAAGAATTATGTAATGTGAGAGGAAAAGTAAGTCAATATTATTCCCTCGCAATCTCACCTCATAATGAGGTCACCTCTCTATAGTTATTAACTAACTGAATTTACCCAATTAATACCATATTTAACTAATTAACTTAAGGTGTTTACAGCTAATTACAACTAACCACAGTTAGTCTAAATCTGAATATAACTAATAATTTTGTTTTCGTGTATTTGAAAAAGTTTTTAATAGACCTCTAATCTTTGTGATGGTGTCTAATTTAGTATTCATATTTTAAAAATATAAGTGTAGGTCTTGACTAATAATTTAGTATTCCCCACCTTTCTAATTCTTAAGGATGAAACAAACCACCACTCAATCCAAAAGCTTGGGTAAATTTAATTCATTTATATAGATTCTAACACTCCCCCTCACTTGTGGGCTTGGAAAACAAGTGGAAATTATAATAAATGGGGAGGAAACGACAACGCAGGGGTTCGAACACAGGACCTCCCGCTCTGATACCACGTAGAGACTAAGGTTGGAGAGAATCCAATGTTATATTCTCATTATTAAAGTCTATAGACAAATATACAAGGTTGACCTAATCCTATAAGGAGAAGGTAAAAGACAAATTAATATTAATATAAGAATATAAAATATACTAATATCTATACTCTAACACTCCCCTCAAGTTGGTGTATATATGTTAGTCATGCCCAACTTGTTAGACAAATAATCAACTTGTGTTCTGTGATTTTTAACATCATTGGGATCACCTCAGAAGTCACGATTGATTTCTTCTCAGCCATAACAAACAAACAAACTTATTTGAATAAAACGACAGAACCAGACCAAACCAAATCAGATCGAACCGAACTTGAGCCTGATGAACCAAACCACTTGAAACCAAACCGGTTGAACTGGACCACTTGAACCGGATCAAGTATTTTCTAGAACCAGAAACCCTAACTGCTACCCCACGACAACCAGAGGGGCAAAGGCGATTGGCGGTGACGGAAGCGCACGGCAACTAGCGGCGACGAAGGTGCGAAGAACGGCGAGACGAAACCCACGAATAGCAATTGGAAAACAGCAGCGTTGGCGAATCAGCAAACGGCGGCGACCGGCGGCGGCGGTGGTGGTCGGTGGCGGGCGGCGGTGATCGGCGGTGAGTTGTGTTGGATAACAATGAACAAAACCCTAAGGCACAAAACCCTAATGGGCACAAAACCCTAATGGGCATCAAAACCCTAATGGGCACAAGAAACCTAGAGCTCTGATACCATGTAGAGACTAACATTGGATTCTCTCCGACCTTAGTCTCTACACTAATAAAGTACTTAAAATTTAAAAAGTATCTAATAATTTTTTTAATTTTTAATTTGATATATAATAGATCTAATTTAAAAGTGTGTACTAAGTCATTGACTTTTCAATTTTGTATCTAATAGATCCCTGTCATATTTGTCATTTTATAAAATTCATGGATCTATATTAGACACAAAAATAAAACCACGACCTTTCAATCTTTTTGTCTATTAGGATTTTAAAAATTTTCGAATATGATAAGAACCTATTAGGCGTAAAATTAAAAGTTCAAGAAACACATTTTTTAAAATTTAAGGATCTATTGGACACAAAATTAAAGTTCAAGGACTTATTTTTAAAAGTTTATGAACCTATTAGATACAACCCAAGAATTTTATGGATTAAACTTGTAATTAAATAAATATACTCTCAAACTTTCAATTTTGTATCTAGAAGTAAACTTTTGACTCAAAAAAAAAAAATTGTTTCTAAGAGGTTTCTATCATTTCATCAAGTATGTGAGAAATATACCTAAAAAAGATCTCGATAAAAACGCTCAAATTGAAAGAAATAGTAGTACCATTGAGAAGCCACACTGCCATTTAGAACTCAATATCCTTTGTGTACATTTGTCCTACCAAACATATACTTGTACTTGTTTCAAATTAACCCATCTTCGTATATTCCTAGTCATCATGCCTATCAATATTAAATTAATAAAATTTGTGATAGAAAGGTATTTGATACAAAATTGAAAGTTGATGATACACCCTTGAAAATTCAAGAAGGTTTTCAAATTATATAGAGACTTAAGTACTAAACACAACTTCAAAAGTTCAAGAATTGAAACTCGTAATTGAACCTAAAATAAGCATTGCTTTTTTTTTTTCTCCATTTTAACAGGCATATATGAAAGTTATTCGCTCGAGGAATGTGCAAAAAGTGAGATTTTATGTTACAGTTTTGAGCATGAAAATGGGCACCAAAAGAACTGCTAGTTGCATAAAGGAGAGGGGTGGGTGCAGTGCAATATGATGAGTAGTGAGAGAGAGTTGAAATTGAAACCTCTCTCAATCTCATAATTTATTCCATGACTCTAAAACTCAAACAAATAGACAGCAACTTCATATGGTGTTCAGATACAGACCCCATTGGCCATCTCATCTCTTAGAATTTTCAATATTTTTGTGGACGGGAGCCTCATGGGCTCCACTTTTCTTACCAAACCAATGGGGCATACTCTCTTAATTATCACCTCTACGCATTGTTTGGTCCATTGTCGTCTTCAAACTTTTAACCCACTTTGTTTTCTGCAACTTGTTTTTCAACAACTAACTTTCTTTCATTCATTGTTCCATCATTAATTTATCATACAACAAAAATATACAAGTGAAGAGGAGTTTCTTTGTGTTTTCAAAAAGTTGAATATATTATTTTTGGGTGGGTGAAGTTTGGGCCATGGCATCTTAAATCCTAGTCCCCAAAAGTCTTTGATGTATGTTGTGGCAAGATTTTTAGCCCTCTATAGAAACTGAAGGAGAGAGGTCCTTAATTCGTTTAGGTCAAAGCTCTATTCAATGGGTTTGTATATTGATTGATTATTAGTTGGGTTGTTAACTTAATGTCGTTTGTTGGGTTTGAGGGACTTTGTCAGGAGAGACTGTTTTCAAAAATAATATTGTTTTTAGCATTGACATTAGCTAGAGGGCAAAACATGTTTGAATAATTGAAGTGTGATTAGTTAATAGTGAGTTTATCTTTAACTTTTCAACTACAAATAGTCTTCCAAATAAGTGATTAGTTACTTTGATATTTTCATTTGGATGTATTTTGGCTATATGGAGAGACAGAATGGATCATTAATTGAAATTTCCTCCGATCGAAATACTG